TCAAATTATGTTATAATCCGAACCTAAAGATTAGACTTCCATGACCAGAGCATCATTTAGAAAAATCATTATGTCCATTTCATTTTCCCATATATTTAAACTACTTATCTTTTCTGGATGCAATTTGTCAAAATAAAGATTTTAGTAGGGAAATATTAAGTTAAAAAGATGATACTGATATACAAAAAAATAATCATTTACCTAGATCGTCAATTCAAGAAAAAACTTACTAACATGGCAGTTGGTAGATCGATTTACTCATAAATTTTTACTTTGCTTCAAACCATGCATCTTGTATTGCATTCTTAACATAATCTTCTTGTATAAATTAGGATAATTATGTTGTTCAGAAAATAAAATGTAAGTTGATATCAATTTTAAAAATACCATAAAATTTTGAAACACAATAGAGAAACAAATCATGTTAGGTTTGACATGCCCCTTGTACAATTCAAACCAATTACCGATGCTTGTAACTCGATTGAAGTTTATAAGAAAATCATTTTCCCTTTAAAATCTTAGATCGAACCCATCAGAGAACTAATCAAAAATTCAAAGTGATTCATAACCACAAACAATATATTGACCTTGACCTAATTGGGTTCGAGGACTAGATTGGCTTTGTGAGGAAGATGAAGAATCTTGATTGAAGAGAAATTGAAGTGCTGAGTGTTTATAGATGGTGGTGGCAGAGGTGTATTAGTAATCCATTAAAAGCAGGAATTGAGCCCTACCTGTAGATTGAATTTTGGATACGATTTGGTCATTGATTTCTGGAGATGTAGAGAGAAATTTACCGAACTGCATAGACATATCAATTACAAACTTCAAAAGTAGTATAATGATTGAGTACATAATTGATTACCCACATACCACCATAGCAGTAATGTGCCATCAATTTGAGGTTATTCATGGTGGGGATTAGGGTTCGATTAAAAACCCTACAAAATTCAAATACCAAAAAAAGTTAAGAATCATGAGCAATGTAGAAAAAAGAGGTGGTTTCTCTTGTAAGAACGATTCATGGAAAAATATGATCAAAATTGGGCTAATAATCAAAGATTCAGAGAGATTTCATAAATCTCAAAATCAAAAAAGTTTTGTGGATAGAAAATAAAAGGAATTCAAAAATCAAAATTAATATAAATGGAGAGAAAATACATACCTACTCTTGAAGTCCATAACCAATAGAAAAATCTACAAAAATAAAAAACAAAAGAAGACTGTAGTGATCGAAGTTTGTGGTCATTGGAGAAAAAAAATGAAGATTTCAAAAGAGGATGACAACATTAATATAGCTAGCTATGGCTTGGCGTATATAATGGAGATTTGGTTTCCAAAACCGAAAGAGAAATTAAAGGAGGAAGAGGCGTGATAAGGGGTGATTGAAGAATGATTTCACTATTTTTTTTATTTGAGTTTTGAATTTGAATAGAAAGAGAAGACGAAATCAAAGTGGAATGACCAGGAAAAAAGGAAGCTAAGATGCCAGAAGGATACTTTCGATCTCAAGAGTAAAGTCGGAAATTCACATTGGTTATTTGAGCGGAAAAATTAGATGGGAGGGTTCTCAATGATTGCCACGGCAGGCCCGACCCAATAGGGTGGGCAAGTTCGGCGACGTCCCCGGGCCTCAATATTTTTGGGGCCCCAAAATTACTTATGTTTGATATTATATAGATATGATTATTGTTAAAAATATTATCGAAGTTCCGGTAATTCACTTAGTCACAAGTAGGGCTGTAAACGAACCAAACGAACACGAACAAGGTCTTGTTCATGTTTGTTCGTTTAAGTTAGCCGAACAACAAACGAACACGAACGGATAAACGAACGAGATTTTCTTGTTCATGTTCGTTCGTTTAACAAAATACTTTGTTCATGTTCGTTCGTTTATGTTCGTGAACATGTTAAACGAACATAAACGAACAAAGATAAAAAAAACACAATTGAACATATATGAACATAAACAAACATATAATATAACAATATAATAAAAAAGAATTGAATATAGATGAATATAAATAAACTTAAACGAACGTAAATGAACATCATAAACGAACGTTCACGAACATAAATGAACGAACGAGACCATTGTTTATGTTCGTTCATTTAACTAAACGAACGATAATTTTTGTTCATGTTCGTTCATTTATTAAATAAACGAACATAAACGAACTTCCCGCCGAACAGTTCACGAAAGGTTTGCCGAATGTTCAGTTCGATTACAGCCCTAGTCACAAGCGCTTGTTTTAAGCTCTTCAATTTACTGATTTTTCAAGGTTCGAAACTTCTTATTAACTTTTGTAAGGGGCCCCTTTTCTTTTATTAAATATCATAATCATACTAGTATTATAAATCTTTTTTTTACATGTTTTTTAATACGTTAAAGAATTTACATTTGAATCATACCTCCCAACTTTAATGAATTGAAATCAAAATTACAAAAATGACTTTTATATTCTTTTTTTAATATACATAAATCATCCAAATTATAGAAATGGTTATTTTTAACTCTTTTTTATTTTTGACAAACCATCCAAACATTTTTTTAATACACATAAATCATCCAAATTATAGAAATATGTTTTTTTTTACTCTTTTTGATTTTTGACAAAGCACCCAAATAATCATTTCATTTTTAAACTTTAGTATTTTTATGGCAAATTATCATGTATAATTTTTCTGTTTATATATATGAGATTTTTAATTTTACACCGTCTTTTAATGTATAATAACTATTATTTATAGGTTTTTTTAAACAAAAATCATAGTAACTTACAGGTTAAATCGGTCATTCTTCAATTGTTTTATAGTCTTCGTCAACATAAGTGTTTTTTTTTACCCAAAAACATTTTTTTTTCAAACACTAAACTAACCGTTTGTCAAAATGGTTGAGTTGTTCGATTGTTCAATTTTATTTTTTTTATTTTGTTTTGTCATTAGTTTTTCTAAATCAAATCCTTTAAACACGATCCAATATTTTTCCGTGTATAATATATATATATATATATATATATATATATATATATAATTTAATAATTATTCATCCGGTACTCATCTCCACCAAAATCATTGAATTATTGTTTGTTATTATTAAATTTTGAAGGGCCTAATTTTTTGGTTTTGCCCCGGGCCTCATATTGATTTGGAACGGCCCTGTTGCCACGTGGCAATTTAGTACTTATTTATTAGATTAGAGGATTAATTCTTTCTATATTGAATTAACATTTCTTTGTTTCAATTTTAATACTTTCCAAACCGTTTTATTTCTAAATGATAAATAAAGTTAAAATAATTTTTATTTTTTATTTTATCACTAAATTATATATATAAGGTGAAAAAGAAACTATTTTCTACCATTCAGACTGCTTATAAAATTAATTATCAAACAACCGATTTCCATTTAAAAATGTGTTGATAGTGATACAGATTTTTCGTTTATTATTTATTATAATTATAATTATAATTAGAGTTCAACAGAAACTAAATAACAAGAATACGAAACTAAACTGGCCTTTTGGGCTAAAAGATAATATGAAAGAATGGGCTAATCATTAGTTTTGTCCATCATAGGCCCATAAAGCTCGCAATGAGTTCGTCCAAAATCAAAAGTCAAAACCCCTCGCCTGACTCCCGCGAATTTTTCTAAGCCTATGAGGTATTTTGTTGTTTCTGTTATGAAATCTACTCGATTTTTAGGTAAAATCGACTTCTCACGTCGTGTTTATTACGGATTCAGAATCATCGATTGATTTCTAAGGTACAATTTCCCTTTCTGATTCATTTGTTTAATATTTCTCTGCAAAATCCGCTGTTTTGCGATAAAATACGTACTTTAATCGTACATATTACTTTGTTTCCATACGTTTGATTGGTATAAAATATCGTGAAATGTCAAATTTGTCTAGACAACGAGCTTTCTATCACTGTTGATTGTTGAAATCGTTAACTGTAGTTCGTAGATGGTGTAGTACATTCTCTGTTACTTGAGCCCTAGAATATATGTGACCCTCTTAGTCTGTGTTTTTTTCTATTGAATGTCTTATTAGGTGGATCACGAGTTTCACAAGTCTAATCACTCTTGGAATTTTATCCGACAAAGACATTTACATGATTTGGACCCTTGGAATTCTTCACAAGCAATCGATAAATTTGTCAAATCACATGGTATGTATAAAATTTGTAGCAACCAGTTAAGGCAAATGGTCCAGTTACTTTTCAAAAATCTTGGAAATAGAAACAGAAGAGGACATTCATAGTTAACATCTCCATACCATGGCTAAAAAGCTTGAGTACTTAGGACCACAGCAACCTCCACTCCTAAAAAAAAAACCAAAAGATGAATTATATATCACTATTACTATATCACACTACGTTATTCAAACACTGAATACCACCTGTCAGTATACCTCAATCATGAAGTCCCATAGTGCTACTAAATTAAGCTAGAAACTCATCATGATCCATGTATGTGTAAATACAGATGTCCAAAGCTTAGCTATTTATAAACTTATATTAAAAGGAGATTATTGTAATATTGTAATATAATCTTCTTCTTTTTCAGGGAAACTCAAGTTGGTTTAAGTTTCAACAATAATCATTGCAAATTTTTCTTCACTACCATTACCACCTGTTAATGTGTGGTCTTATTAAGTCGATGTCTTGGAATCCAAGTTCCCAAAAGTGTAAAAAGATGCAACTTTTTTATTTCCAGATATGGAAAAAAAAGTGCTCTAATCATTTTTGGTAACACATCATCATATTCTAAGTGCTTAAACTACTCCATAGCTTGCTATTTCTGCCTCCTCCCACCACCCCCACCTTTACATGGTTTTATCTTTTTATCATTTAGGGGGATTAGTTATTTCATTAGCCACTTCTTTTTGTCTTTTTCCTTAAACAACGCATAAAACAATGATCCTGTTTAGTTATAACAGGAAATAACTAATCGAAGTTTACCTTCTCAATTAGGAAAGATGATGATATAACCAAAAAAAAAAAAAAAAAAGTCGTAATAGACTCGTAGTGATTTCTTTTATTTTGAGATAGAAATGGCACGCGAAAGAAATCTAGATACAGAAAAGAATGGAAGAAAAATACAAAAGACACGCGAACACAGTTCACACACACACACACATACAGTCACGCATTAAAACAAACAATTTGAACTACTTTTTTAGTTTTTAGAGCAAATCCCAATTGAAATGTGGTTGTATTGTTTGAGTGGTGGTTGATGTTGATGTTGATGTTGACGATGGTGGGGCCGAAAAAATTGTCGGCAAGGAATCAAAAGTCTCCCATTGTGTGGTTACCACAACTGCCCCTGATGTGTTCTTGCTCGACGGCTCTTGATGTTGATGCGCCACCGTAGTTGGTGTAAATTTACGCCTAGATTGGTGGCCGTTGGTGGTCGTCGGTGGTGTCGGTGGCGGTGGCTGCTGTTTGGGTACTTGATTCCTTGCGTTTTTCACCTTCATAACGTCTAGAGTTTCAACGTATCTCTGAACTCTTTCCACCTGTAAATTTCACAATATGGACATATTTATCCAAAAATCAAAGAGAAAATCAAATTATCAATTAAGAAATAAGAACTAACCTGTTTTTTCTTCTTCAAATTTACATCGCCGTCGATTTTAATTTCATCTAATTTAATCAATTGATTCATGAATAACTCGATCAGATTCGACACCATCTTCTCCGCCACGTTTCCTCCTTTAGAGATAACGGATTCAAGCGCCGACAACTGGCCGGCGAGTCTATCGACTTCCAGGCTAATCTCCGATAACAATTTAGCCGCCTTTTCAATTTTGGCGTTCTTTCGAGCTTCGAGATACCTTTTCTCTTTGCTTATTGCGTCTTCTTCCAATACCATTTTTGATTTATCTTTTACGCCGACAACATCGAGATACGTTTTGGAGGCCCTTTCTTTATCTTTATATATGATCTTTTGATCTTCATGGTGTAATCCGGTTGGACCGGTTAACATCTTCTTCAATTCTCCTGTAACAAAACCCAATCATAAATTGAATTTGGGGATACACTAATTCCATTATCACACACTAACTATAATAGCTTTATTATTACCAAATGTCGCTTGAGAACTGATAATCATTTCGTGGTATATTGACATGTATTTGACCCGAACTCGAATGGTTGGTGGAGGAACGCGGGTTTGTACTTCATTCGGGTCTCGCTTCTGAACCAGCATTCCTCCCGGCCGGACCTCCAATTCGTCTTCATCGCCGCCGTCTCTTGTGGCTGAGACGGCTGAGCTCCCTTTCATGGAAGTCAACTCTGTTGTTTTAGTTCTCATACGCATCATCGTTGACTCAGATTCACCGGAAAATAAGCAGGAAGGAACTCAGATCAAAGCATTGACTTTGCAAAGATCTTGATGGTGTCATATATAACAAAACCCATTTCGGACAAAAAGAAAAATAAAAGAAAAAAAAATTACACACACACACAAAGAAGTTTTGACAAATTTTAGATCTACTTTGAAACACAAAACGAATGTAGATGGGAATATAAGGAAATGAGTAATAATGGTGGGATTTAAAAAAAAAAAAAAAAAACAGAATAAATCTTCTATTCTAATATTCTGGAGAAGAGTAGAAGGTAGAGATGAAAACTAAATGAAAATGAATGTACAACGAACAGAACACAGAGTTTATATATATTTTAGACAATTATTATATTTTTGTATTTATATATTTATTGGAGTCAGTCAGTGTCTTTGTTTGTTTTTTTTTTTTTTTTTCTAGAAATAAGAAAATGTGGTAATTAAAATATAAATATGCACTCATCACTCATGAGAAGCCGCCAAATATAGTGTTTCTCGCCTCTCGGTAAAATTGAGGCAACTTGGTTCTTCCTGTCCAACCAAAACTTTTTCTTTTTAACCATTTTTTTATTTTTTTTTTATTGGATGTTTGTAAGATTGTATTATTCTTAAACCTACACCAAAACTTACGCAGCTTTTATATTTGTCGTTTCTTCTTAAAAGCTTGAACCTTCAATCAAACAACTGTAGCTTTTAAGAGTTTTATGAAGTTTTAGTTTTTAATTTTTATAAAAACAGAAACCCGATAAAAAAAGCTTAAGAGCTTTGAGTTTTTTGTTTTTTTAGTTTTATATGTTTAAAAGTTAATCAAATATTTATACAAATAAAACTACAATTTTTAGCTTTCAGTTGTCAACTTTCGACTAGTTTTGTTAAACTCGTTTATAAATGTTTTAAAGAATACAATTATGTTTTATTTTTAAGATATTTATTCCGCTTCATTTATCATAAGATTTCACTTCAAATGTTTCTTTGGTCTAGTGTTCTTTATTTTGATTACTTAAAACATTATAATTAATTTAAAATTAAAATTTTCATTAAAATTAAAATGACAAGTATATGACAATAATAGAACTTTTAGGTTATTTTTTTTCACTTAATTTTTGGTTTTATGTTCATTTAGTCATTTAACTCATTTTAAGTTTTAATAGATTATCGAACTTGTAAATTTGTGTCAGAATGGTCGTTAAACATACATTTTTTTGGTCACTTAACTTTTGATTTTGTACTTATTTGGTCACTTTTTCATTTTATAGTTCATTTTTATAACTTTATTTTAAAAGTTTAGTAACTAAATGAACACAATTTCAAAAGTTATGTGATTAAATGAGCACAAAGTCAAAAATTAAGTGGTCAATCAAAAGTTTAATGACCACAACAACATAAATTTACAATTTCATAGATTTTTTAAAACTTGAAATGAGTTAAATAACCAAATATGTATAAAATCAAAAGTTAAATGATCAAAAATAACCTAAACCCTAAAAGCTAAGACACTTGAAATTTAAATATAAGAAACATAAAAATAACATTACTTTAGATAACATATTGGTGTCATTATGCTCCCCTTAATAACTTGCCAAATCTCTAGATATCGGAAATGTATATGTTGTTTTGGCTGAAAATTGCAAGATAACAAGATTTCTTCATTTTCACCCTTTGTCGAATTATGTCTCACATTATTAAACACAAAGCCCACCATTTGGTGTAGATTTGCCCTTTGCTTCGGTAGCAACCTTGACAATTTCTTTGTGGGATAATCGAGTTATTTTGTTCCAAGAAGAAGACCCATGTTCGTAGACGTTGACCATCGGGTCCTCCTGTACATCGACTCATGCACATGTAAAAACCACCTCCTTAGTTGGGCTCAAAGGACAACTTTTGTGGAAACTATTTCTGAGAGAAGTTTACGATTTAGATAAATATTGAATGTTTGTGAGTTGTGAAAAATAAAGAGATTGATGGCATTTATTTTCATTGAAAATGGCTTTAAAATTTAAATTTTTGACGAAAGAAAATGGTTACTCTTTTGAAAAGTGAAGCATTTTTTTTGAAAAATATAAAATGAAAAAAAAAAAAACTTTCTCTATCATCTACAAGGACTTGGCGAAATGGCTTGACAAGGCACGTCGAGACGGCGACCTAATGTTTGCCAAAGTGAGTCATTGTCTGTTTGAGATGGTACTGAAACCCACTAGGTTAAATTTTTATTTTTGTTTATTGCTTAGAATAAATTTCACTTCAAATGTTTCTTACGTCTAGACTTTATCATTACTTCATAAACACAGATTTTGGTCGCAACATGGTGCTACTATTTTTATGATTGAAAAAATCTATTATGTTTTTCTCTATTCTGACCAATTTTTTTCAAACATCGCACAACTTTTTTTTTTTTTTTTGTTTTTTTGTTTTTTATTTTATTTTTCTCAATGTGTAGGTTTTCACTTCACCTTTCCGTAACAAGAAAGTTTTTTACTCTAAAAAACCTCACAGTTCCCTAGGTTTAAATGGGTTGAAACAACTTGACCATAATTCATCCCATGTACTTATTATGGCGTGTCATCTCATGTATTTTCTTGACGAGTTTGTGTTGGATTGGCAGGTTTTAGGGTATAGACCTTATAATATGTCGTGTGATGCTAGATTGAAACACTAAATAAGTTGAAAGGGTAGGAGTTGTAGATATGGAGAAGAAAAAGTAAAAAAAACATGAGGGAGTAGTAGTGTGGGAGGTAGAGAGGTGAAATTCACAATAAGTTTAAACGAGGGAAGTGGACAAGTGAGATTGTAGAGTATGAGATATTAATAAAAAGATGAAAAACTAAAAATAAGTATTGACTAATGAGATTAATAAGTGACTTCAACATTATAAAACGAATCAATCCAAGATATTTTTTTTATTTGGTTTTGGTTTTGTACATGTCCAGTTTATCTAAAAGATTAAAAAAAGTTGCATATAAATAAACGAGCCATTTTCATGTTGCAAGTTTAGATCCTAACCACTCATTTAATTTCCATGTTGTATTGTGTCAACTCGTTTAATTAAATAAGTTGAAATCTCTAACTCAAACTAGTATTGATTGTGTGTCGAGTTCGTTTCGTATCGAGAATTATCACCCTTATTGATCCCTGACTTTTCCCGAATGAGCAAGGGGTTCAAAAATCGTATTTCCTAGCATGGTAACGTTATATGGATGTATATAACATCGAAACCTACTAATTGATGTTTGATATGTGACAAAAAAAGTTTTAGATGGTAAAAGGTGGTGGTCAAAGTCCTAACTTTTATCCCTCGTTATCTTGCTATTTGCCTTTAATAAGATTGCATCTATGATTAGCGATCTTATGCCTATGTCTATGTCGTTAAAACTTATGACAACCACTATAAGAAGATAATATTTTGAACCCTATACTATATGATTTAGCTATTTCTAGCTACGTTGATATTGTATACCATATAATATAACCTAAAAACATGAATCTCTGTTTAATTCTATTGGGAGAATGATTTTCAGCCACACAGAGTATGAGTACATGTAACATTCCTATCCTATATCTTAGATGGTAAAAGGTGGCGGTCAAAGTCCTAACTTTTAACCCTCGTTAGCTTGCTCTTTGCCTTTAATAAGATTGCATCTATGATCAGCAATCCTATGTCTATGTCTATGTCGTAAAAATTATGACAACCACTATAAGAAGATAATATTTTGAACCCTATATTCTATGATTTAGCTATTTCTAGCTACATTGATATTGACAACCACTTTAACAATGATTTTGAACCCTATATTCTATCAGTGTTAAAGTTATATATTCTAATTAGAATATTATCCATCAGAGTATAATTATATGTAACATTCCTATCCATTGTTGTAAAACTCAGTCAACTCTGCCGAGTACACGAATTTGACCTCTTACTAAGGCGAGTTAATAAGTATATTTTATACTATATCTAACATACTAACCCTAAAACTAAAGTTAGGTACTGAGTAAATGAATTGTGTATGTTTTCCTCTCTCTTTCATTCTCATTCATGATTAAAATGTTACTTTTCTGAACTAGTTTAAAATTCGAACATGTATCATTTTATTGATATTAAACATATTTTGTTATGAATTTTAATAAACTTGTGATTTTTCATATATATAATTTTCCCAAAATTAATTTATTTATAAAATATCATATCCAAGTACTCTCCATGTAGGTTGAGTACTCGCTACTCCCCAGTTGACCGAATAAGTACTGAATAGCGAGTTCCGCAACATTGCCTATTAGAATAGTATATGTGCATGATTTGTGAAATCTTAACAATATTTTAATCAAAATATTATTAATTAGAGTTCAATTATATGTAATATTATTATCAGAAAATTATTATGTGCAGATATGGTGTTAGGTTCTCGGACTTTTAAGTAATTTTAAGGATTTGAATCATGTGTGTGTGTGTGTGTGTATATATATATATATGTATGTATATAGGGGATAGGGAATATACATTACAGCCCCACCTAAGCTTAGGTACTAAACCGCTAAAATATGTCGTTTTATCATGCTAAATATACCTGGTTTGGTTTCATTTGGTAAATATATCATCTTCTATAACATTTCTTTCTTTCATTATCGTTTTACCAACTCTGTTTTCTTTCTTCAATTATCGTTTATTACTTCACCCAAGTGAACATTACTAAACCCTAAACCCTAAATTTAAACCCTAAACCTAAAATCTAAACCCTAAACCCTAAACCTAAACCCTAAACCCTAAACCTAAACCTAAACCCTAAACCCTAAACCCTAAACCTAATCCCTAAACCCTAAATCCTAAACCTTACTGTGTCGATCTTGAATTTACATCTTGAAATATTAATCGTGAATCCATTAACCGTAATCTTTATATAGTAAAACAATTTATTTTCAAGAGGTTTAGTACCTAAGCTTAGGTGGAGCTTTAATGTATATTCCCTTTTCCCATATATATATATATATGGTGGGGGTTGGTGGGTTGGAAGATTGGTAGGTGGGGACGGGTGGTTGTGACTTGTAAGAGTGGGTGGTCCGGAGTGTGTTTGAGTGTGGGCGTATGGGTGTGGTAGGGTGTTAAAAAGACTTGTGGGATCACGACCATATGGGACAACATCTCGATACAAGGGCTATTTTTACAATGTTTTGGGTTCAAGGGAGGGACGGGGAGCTCTTAACTGAATACAACAAGGCCTCACATATTAACCTTAT